CCCTGCCGGCTTCCGCCTCTTTTCCTGTCGAAACTTATTTTTTCTTTTCTTTTCCCCTTTCTGGGCCGCGGATGCTGACACTTACTCGCACCAAAGCTGCCTCACGTCCTCTACAGGGGATTGTCAGATCTTCTAAAATATGAAAAAACACAGATGCTTGCCAGCCGCACTGGTGTGCTGCACATGGGTAATAGGCATAATAGGGTCAGGCCTGCATTTAATAAACAATTACCCATCCATAATAGATGAGTCCGGCTCCTGGTCGAGAGAGAGAACAGGAGAGAGAGAGAGAAGGAAGATGAATGAATAATGCAGACAAGATGCCCATCAGAGTGCCCAGACGCAGGGGCACATACAGCGCCAATTATCTCCCCCTGCTAATGATGATCATCTTGATGCTCTCCCTCACAACACCTTCCTCACCTGCACCACCCTGCCAGCCTGCCCCCTCATGCCTAAATCTGACATTTATCCCCTGCCCCTGCCCCTGCTTACTAACTCACCAAACCAGAGGAAAATAGAGTCAAGCTTCAGTAGTTTAAAGTAACTGTTTTTAAATGTTGTGCTTAATTTTGTTAGACAGTCTCCTTTTATTTTGTAGGGGCAGCAGAGGGGTTTCCTGGGTGGTGGGGGCACAGTGGCCATCGCTCCTCTTTTGAATTACAAATCAATCAGGGACCTCTCTTCAGCAGCTTTCATTCAGACCAAGGTCACCCAGATTACACAAGGTTAAAGTGTGTGTTCGAGTATGTGTGCATGCAGAGAGACCGGGGGGGGCTGTCACTAGTTGGATTAGCATACAACTCTGACAGAGCGAGGGAATTAAAGGCGGCACAGAGGTATGATGGCCAAGCAAAATGGTCCCTGCTCTCTGCTGTATTTGAATAGGCAGCCCAAGGTACGTGGAATAAGAGAAGCAGCGAGGAGAAGCTCTTTGGCCCCCAGGATCAGAGGGGGGGAACCTGTGGTTCTCAGGCAGACTGCTAGTTAAGTAGATAGGGCCCCAGTAGACTGCTTTAGTACGGGCTCTGGGAAAAATACACAGCCATTTTGCTCCCACAGGGCCCAAGTCTCTGGTAGTAATGGGATCAGAGCCATGACCCTCCCAGGACACCGTACCAGTATTGGATATTCTATTAGTTTCCTCTGCAGTGAAAATAAGTCCATGCTCAGCTACTTTTTATCACTCAGAATCACATTTGTTTTACTTTTATGTAGCTTTAACAGTGACTAATCAAATTATTTAAAGTTTCTAGGAAGAGTCTTCATTAACAATTGAACAGCGTGCAGTGTTACTTATAACTATTGTAAAACCTTTTAGTATATAAAGCTATGTATTGTGGATATCTTCTAATCATATCTAATGTACTTTATGCATGCAAGGATATTGTAAGCTATTAACATATGCACAAAAAAAGCGAGCCCCATAATTGTTCCTTTTTACCATTTAATCCCAGCACTGGAAGATACAGCAGAGATCACATTAACATTTACATTTCTGAATCCCCCACCTCCTTGGTACAACTCCAGCTTTCAGCCCCAGCATCTCATCTGCCTTTACATAATATCAAGCTGTATTAATGCTACATACAGAGCTCCACTGCCTGTGCTGTGTAGATTTACATTTTCCTAATGATGTGCTTTCATTTTTCCTCAACTATCCCCCTGTCCTTCCCTTCACCTCCAGCCCACAGCCCACGGTGATTTAAAACACATACAACTGTACTGCCGTTTTATTGCAAAATAACACAAAGCGCGGGTTGAGACACCTTTGGTCGCCCCGGTCCCATCTGTTGCACATCTGGAAGTGGTGCGCCGCACCAGTAATTGGAAGTCAATTTGTTTGAAGTTATGTATTTGGCATCTGGCTCGATTCATAAAAACTCTGGAAATCGCATTAATTTTATAGCATCTCGAGAAGGCCCAGCCACTTTTATTTTTTCATCTCTCTCGTGTTCCATCGTTAATGCACGTGGGGCCTTGCTAGTCTAGTGACGTGGGAGTTTGTCAAGCACTGGTCAGGGTGTGGTTTTTAATAGAAGCAGCATGGAGGCTAATGCCCTACAGAATCATGAGATGAATTACTGTGGTGCACTTGAGAGACCATATTCGTTGCTAATCATTAAATGTAATCATTTTGGGTAAGTTTTAGAATTTCACCTTTAACTTTGACCTTTAACTTAACCTCAGATCATTTCTTATTTTTCCTGAAGGGGAAAACTCATCCAGGGCCTAGTTTGCCACATTTCCAGTAGACGGACTGACTGATTGAGAAGCAGCATGGTATTGTTTGTCACACAGCTCTGAGTCATGGCTGAAAATAGATATGACACTTGATGTTTGGTGCCTCACTGCCGGCTGTCATATTGTTATTCCCACTCAAATTTCACCTAATTTGTGCACAAGTCTTGTCACAGTCCAGATCCTGATGAGGGCTTTTAGGTGGTTATTTTTTTCCCTTAGCTTCCTCGTTTGTGTGGCAACGAGGTGCAATGAGATACACACCAGTGTATGTGTGTGTGTAGCATGTGTGTGTGTGTGTTCGGGCTTGCGTGTGCACATTTGTGTTTGCACACAAGCACATTTGATTAGGCTTGTTTGTGTGCACAAGTGTGTTCGGCCGTGCGCTTGCGTGTGTGTGTTTGCCGTGCTCCAAAGTGAGTCACCTCAGCGGGAGGTGATTAAGAGTTGCCAATGGCAGGCTCGACAGGTGAGTGCATTGTAGCACGCTGGCAGCTGTGGCATCTGCACAGGTGACAGCTTCTCCTGCTCAGTGGTGGTGTCAGTGTTGGTGGGTGGCAGGAGGTCTGACAACGTTGTTTTGGTGACAGAACGACTCCACTGTGAGGTTCACGACATCACTTGCCTTCTTTAGATTTGTCAGTTTATACTGGGAAGTATAGGTAGTACCATGGTCTTAAGCATATTCTGCCAAGGCACTATTCCATATGTGAAAGTACTGTTTACCAACTATGGTTATACACTAAAATTAATTTTATTTCATTGGCTTTTTAAGTAATCCACCACAAAAAAAATGCTCTGTTTTTACCACACTCCTGCCGTGGGTTTCTTTTTATCTGCATACTTCACAGTGCTATGACAAAACACAGACATTTGCTGCCACCTGCTGTTTGAAATATGCCACAGCAGCAGCCCTTTCATCCTGAGAGTGAGGTAATTCTTTGAGGGATACCATTTTGCTGTGCATGCAGTTGTAACACAAAAAGGAATGGAAAGATTATTTTACAAGGGGTACAGTTTCTGGCAAATATAATCTAACCAGCTAGAAAGGAAGCAAGAGAGAGAAATGGGGAGGCTTGTGGGATTACAACCATTCCCATATTTAGTTTTACATGTTCAAATGTATGTTTTCCTCTTAACATAAGCAGCTAATGTCTCCGACATTATCCAACATGCATATCCGACATGCGTTATCGGACATCTGCGCTGTTTTCTCGGTTCACTGTAGACACTTTCAAATCACTTCCTATGAGTCTCTGAGCTGTGGGTTGATGAACTGTGATATTCCAAAATAAAAAGTGGCTTGTTCTGATGTCACCATTGCCTCATCCGACCACATTTCCTTTTGAAGCCTGCACAAAACTGATCTTGAACTTTGTCCATGATAGCCTTTGATATGGAGAGAAATGAATTCATTAGGAAGTTTAATCTGACTTTTCTTTTCCAGGGTATAATGGTTTGTCTATTGAGAGTTGTGTGAATGTGTATATGTATTATTGTTTCTCTTTTATTTTCTGTCAGTACTTTCATGAAGATAAAGCATATTCATTATTATATTATATTATTCTACCCCTGACTTTGACTTTCATCAATTCCTGCACTACACTAATTGGATTTGTGTATTTTCCCCAAGTTTGGTAAGACGAGAAAGGAGGGGAAAAAATCATCGAAAATCTAAATGTAAATTGAGCCTTTTGAAATTTCAGTCATGCTGACTCTTTCTTAGATATGCTTCATGTTTTTTTTAGCATAATGAAAATCTATATTTACCTTCCATAACTGCTTTGGCCAATTACCCGTAAACATCACTCACTCACCACTTTGTAGTTGGAGTGGCTGTAGTCCGTGATGATTGATTGGTTCAGTCTTATTTGCGGCTAAAGAGGAGATGCGAGCGAAGAAATGTTTCGATTTCATTACAGAGAAACACACACTAATAACACTCTAAAACATTAATTCAGGGAGGCTTTGATGAGAAATCCATTTGGGAAGTATTGGCATGTTGTTTTTTTTCTTTTTTCTTAGACGGGTCTGTTTGTTGCATTATTAATGCATGACTTTAAGATTGGAAAACTGCATGTTGATGAATGATTTGTGAGTGATACAACTACACAAAACAGTAAGATTTGTGATCATAATAAGGTCAAAGTATGAAAAGGAGACATCTCTTCATCCTGCCAACCTCAAACTTTCTTAACTCTCAGCTAGAAGCTCTCATAGCAACTTTTTACTCCTCACCATTATTCATCCTCAAGGGCTCATCAGCTCACAGTAGGCTCATCAGAATTATTACTCCTCCTCTACTTGTCTTTATTATCTAAATTCCCTCCTCTCCTCCTTTCTGCCACTCATTGCCAATCAGCCACCTTATAAGCCAGCCCTTTAGCTTCCTTGATGAAACTTTTCAGGCTTTGTTCACTCTTAGCCCTGTTGTTGTCCAGCTGGATCATTTTGCACTCAGTTTACCACTGGTCACTTTGTATCTTCTCTGATGTTCTCCGATGTGTTGAGCTTCCTGTACACTTAACAACAGAGCAGAGTGATGAGTGTGTGATTTCTGATTTGTACTCAATTGGTGTACAAAGGTATGCTAAATTCAGGTATTTTGTCATAGAAACATATGTCTGTAATTAAAAGTGAAAAGTATGACATTGGCATTTAGAATTCTAGAAATGTAGAGTTTATATACTGTAGTTAAAGTAGTATTGTAGTAGTATTTTGTTGAATGATTTCTGCGAGATGACAACAAGAAGCCAAAATCGGGTATATCAAAAAAAGGGGTTTATTATATTTGTCCCACCCCTACTAAGAATAAAAAAGGTAACATGTTAGATAATAATAATAATATATATATATATATTTTTTATGAATACATGGATTAAAACATATAAATACATAAACAAGACAAACAACATGTTAGGCATTGCGGTGAGTATATCAGTTACATGTTCATCTTTTTAAAGACAAAAATGAGAGTCTGAATAAGGCACGCATCCTCACATCCTTTTGTGAAGTAGTAAAAAAAGGACAGCTTTGGCAGGTTTTCAGTGATTATTTTGCATACGTTGCAGTGTAAAGCTACCACAGTGTTTACACCCCCCCCCCCCCATAAAACAACAAAACAACAGTAGAACAACAGTGGTCATATACATAATGTACTTAAACGCTGATAAATGTCTCCCTTTTTCTTGCAGGTCTGTTTCTGCTCTGTCCGGGAGGCCGCAAAACATATTGATTGTCTATAGAAAAGTGAAAAAGAGCAGGTGGAGAAGCAGGAGGTCCACGAGCTCTTCCTGATCCCGCTGAGCTCTGGAGAATGCAAGCTTTTGGGCCATTCCAGCTCGAACACCCACCTGATCAAACTACACACTCTATGTACAGGTGGCACTTTGAGGGGGCACTGTCAGGTGTGTAAGTCATTTAAATTATTTGCAACCCTGCAAGTTGCGCCATCAGTCTTTCAAAGGCTCTGTGTATGTCCTTTACCAGTGGGGTTTACAACTGTATTGTCATGAGGAGATAACAAGAGTGTGTAGCTGAAGAGGGCATCCTTATAGGTCGTCACCCTCAGCAGAGCTGAAGCTGCTCCTGCGGCTGCTGTCCTTGGATGCGGCTCCAGGTGAGCTGGCTGAGAGGAGGGGGTCGGTGCCAAAGGGCGATAGTGGGTCATCCATCAGAATTTCGTCCAGCCGATGCTCCTCCTTGAGGGTAGCGCTGAAGAAGTCTGTGAAGTGGGACAGCGGGTCGGAGAATGTGGTGCAGCCGTCTGCACCAATGTGGTCCTGCGGCCCGCTGGCAGTGGGGATGGACGGCACACCGGCCACCACGGCTATCCTTTGCAGGTAGTCGCTGTTGGGATCTTCTTGGTAGAGGGGCGGCTGCTGGGGTTGCTGGGTCTGGGGAGATGACTGCTGCTGCTGCTGTTGCTGCTGCTGCTGTTGTTGTTGTTTGAGGAGATGGGTGGATAGTTCAGTTGTCCCCAAGGCTGTAGCCATGTTTGGGAGGCCATGTGCTCGTGCCTGGATCTCAAGCTCCTGGAAAACAACAGAAAAGAAACCATGAGTTAAAGATGGTATCTGCTTCTAAAGTGTTGTTGAGAAAATTACTATGACACGCATTGTGTGTTAGCCTAGATAAGATCTGATTAGATACCTAAAAATGTGTGAATATTTCCTCAGATATGAGTGGATTTACCACGGAACAACAATCGCCACCACACCTTTTTCACATACTGACATTAATTGAGTGAACTGTACTTGGGGAGTGTGGGTGTTGACACTGTCTTCTCCCACACGCACTCTTTTCACAGTGTATATGATCGGCACTAATCACTGATCATGTCATCACAAAGCCCTGCTTGACCTTTGTTCACTATCCTTTTATCATCAGTGGTGGTCAGAGTTTCCTGGATAGTTTTGTCATATTTGAAGAAAATACCAGATTGTGTGTTCTTCCCATCATTGGCGTAAACTCTGATAAGCCACAATCTACGTGTGCTGTTTGTGCTCATCATCTATTTCTGATTTGGGTGTTTTTTACACTGAAAGACCTGGGCTTATTTGACATTCATCAGGTAAACTGGCAGGGAGCCTTGAGATTAGATCAGAGATAGGGGGGAGTGTAAGCAACAGTGGGTTAGGGGGGTGGGTAGTTATGGTTTTTGGGTCGTAAAGCTTTTAAGGTGGAAATTAGTTTACGTTATAGTGTCGTAAAGCTTTCGAGGTGGAAATTAGTTTATGTTGTAGAGTCGTAAAGCTTTGGAAGTGGAAATTAGCAGAGGTGAGCCCTCTGTCTTTATCAAACCGATCTTTGGCATAATGTATGAAAGAGGTAGTTTTTTAAATAAATCAGCAATGTGAAAATAAGGGTTTACTTGGATCCTGCACTGGGGCTAGGTGCCAAAACATTAAAGGGACATTAGTGAGTTGATTGGCCGAGCTTTAAGGAGTGCGTTAAAATTTATTAGGAGGAACACTGGTTTTGTGTTAGAGCAACGTGGGAAGACAAGTCTAAGGCTGTATACTTTACTCTACTTTAGTCTCCTTTTCTGTCAGTAGTATTGCCATCTATCAGTGTTTTATCACCATGTATACCACAGACACAAATCAAACACATTTAGACTGTTATATTTTGTTACCTGGATCCTCAGAAGCAGTCTCCTATTTGCTTGCTCCAGCTTCTTCTGACGGCTCTCCAGCTCCCGAGCGTGCTGCTGCTCCTTCTGCAGCCACCTTATGTACTCCACCGAGGCCTTCAGGATAGTGCCTTTGTTCCAGCGCATGTCACTGCAGACAGAAGAAATGTTAAAGATAACCTTTTACACAGAACCCCCTGATGTTGGCAGAATATCCTCTGCAAAAAAAATTAAAAATGGGGGGAAAAGTTTTAACACAGAGGTTTTTTCCTCTTTTATGATATGAATAAGAAATGGTGATTTACATGGGGCAATTATTCATCCTTGGACATTACATGGGGACACTGAATGGGAATTTTAATAGAATAGTTAAGTAGCTATGTGGAAAGTCCATTCTCGTACCTTCTTGTTCGGTAAAATTAATCCTCAAGTAAAAATAGGTGAGGGAAAATGAGCTAAGTAGGAAGACTGGGGGGGGGGGCTTGAGGTGCAAGAGTGCAAGTCATTCTTTTTGCAGATATTATTACTTTTTTTAAAAGGAAAGGGGAGCTGTAGTAAAATTGTCCTTTTCCACACGAGTGAGACGTTGGTCTGATCAGCACTAATAATCTCTTTTATCTCGTGTTAATGGCACGACGACAACGCTAACCTTCCATTTAAATTTGAAGCAAAGTTCAATTGCATAAGATGGCCGGTGGATTTTGATTCCGCTCCATACTCCATCGCTATGTTCCAATTGTGCTTCAAACTTTGATTCAAATGGTGTGGCCTGCTTCTTTGCATTTGACCCTTTCCTCATCATTCATGCTTTGAGCTGAACTGCCGGGACCCAGCGAGAAGATGTACAGCTCTTGGAACGTCGACTTCAATGGAAGTTCAAGTGCACCCTTGAAATATGACTAAAATGCGCTTGAGTACTCATTTGAATTCAGTGAACAACGCGTAGAGTGTCTTTGTGCTTCGAATTGAATATGCTTCGCCATCAGGCAAGGTCTTGCAGTCACTTCAGTAGCATTGTTTCAATAAATACATTTAGATGTTGCAACTTACGGGTCATTTGACTTTGGTATTAGTGTCCCCAGTTCCTTAATCCTGTAGTTGATGTTGTATCTTCGCCTTCTTTCAACTAAACAAGAACAAAAAAGAAAGAGAGAGATGATTAGGGCACTGTCAGCTGCCATGCTAAAAAACAAATTTTACATAATAAACTGTGAGCGAGTTGAGAGGAAGCGGGAGACACTTACTCAAATTATGGTTGTCCTTTTTCTGTCTCTCTTTGGCCATCACCCTTGTGTCGTGTTCTGTACAAAAACAATAAATCACAGAGAGGGAACGAATTGATTAGCAACGCACACCAATTTTGAAACTGAAAGACAACGAACACAAAACGGCACAAAAGGCCCAGTCAGGAGGCATACAATCAGTTATTTTGAGGGAGTTCAGTGCTGGGGTCAGCCAGAATGTGTAGTTTCCGTGCATCCACACCACACCAAGTTTGACCTACAGACACAAACACACACACACACACACACGCGCACACACAGAGCCCAATTGATCCCCTCCAGCATGTCTGAAGCCCATTGTGGAAAAGAAAATGGTGATCACTTAAACTATTTAAACTCTGTAATTAAGACAGTTTAGCAAATTCACTAATCTGTCTTGCAGAGGGACAAAAATGCCAGTGCATCCATATTCGTATTCACATTCTTCCAAATTACATAATTGGGGACCTGAGATTGGATTTCCCAATTTGTCTCTGTTGATTCAATCAAGACAATTTAAACTCAACCCATTGTCCTCTCCGCCCACACTCAAATAAAACAGCCCGTTGAGAGTGAAGGGTTCTTCAGGCATCCTTTTAATTTCCTAAATCAATTAGGCTTATTTGCTTGATGCATGACATTAATAAGAAACGTCTTAAAGGGCCCTCTGTTTGTTTTCTTTTTTTGCACTGTGACGAAAAGTCTACACGTTTCTACGGCCTATTAATGGAACCACCAGCATGTTGCCTTTTTTAGCTAAAGCAGGTCCACTCTGTTCTTTCTAGCACCCACCCAGAGCTTAATTAATTCATTTTTGCTTAATATGCAATATTTTTTGTTTTAATTCCCTAAAATGTCTTTTATCTGACAGCCAGATTTTTTTGTGATTTTAACTTAACTTACAGCAATGTGAGCATATAATAATTGGTTAGTTGTTTGATCAAATGCTATGGTATGAGTCCATACCTGTGTATTCCCTTTTTACAGTGAGCTTTGTGGGGTTAGATGTGGGACTCATTCCACCATTAGGGGCGTTCATACCTTGTTCACCCCCATAGACGTCCAGCATGCTGCCACTGAGGGACACCTAGGAAGGGGAGAGAGGGAGAGAAAGAAAGTGAAAGGGTCAGTGACAGGGGAAGCAGGCAAACTCATTTGCATTTCACACGCATATAAACACATGCCTTTCACACTTTCAACAAAAACCACAACACAAATAGTTGTTTTTAGCTGCTGTGGGACTTTGTTTAGCATTGACGAAAATGACAAGAGGCAGGTGGAGTGTTCAGAGCCTAGCAAAGAAGGTTGTCAGCCTCCAGGCCTCTGGCTTTGGACTACGCGGCAGGGAGTTGTAGTATCCACATAGTCTCCCCTCAGCAGGACAGGGCAAATCCACTGCTGTGACCATGAATTGTTGTCATATTCAGATTGCCTGCTCATGTTTTAGCACAAAGAGTAAAAACTACTTAACAAGAAGTGAACATTGGTCACCCAGGTCAATAAAGTGTTTCCATCCTTCAGCTGTAGGCTACTCCATCTAGCCCCGACCTCTAACCCAGGCTTGCAGCCCTCTGAGGTTTGCTTTGACCAGACGTAGTGCCTTGATCTGGGTTGTGAAAATGCCACCATTTTCAAAACCCCTCCGCTTGAGAGTACTCCCAACACAGAGATGTGCTCTGTGTTGAAAATAGCATCCCATTAGATGAAAAGGCTAGCTAGGTCAACTGCTTGAACAGAGGCAAAACTGTTTTCCTACGGGTCTCTTCTTGTCTGGGAAAGCATACATCAGTTCAGCGATAAGACATCTTTTCACGGACTGGGGAGATGTCAAGATTTAGCGTGCCGACACACATGTGTGTCTAATTCGCATTTGTGCATTAATGGGAAAATGCTACAGAAGCCACCATGCATTCCAAGATGCGCGCAGCCAATTTTATCCACGATGTGTGTCAAATCTAACTACTAGACTGGGGAATGTGATAAGGCTGCATGTCAAGTCAAGAGATGGGAAGGAATGGAAAGCAAGAGAAAAAAAACAGAAAAAACAAAACAGAAGAAACTGCAGACATTTCAGATATCTGCGTTCGGTTTGGTTTGCATGTGCGTTTTTTTCCCATTATCTCACCAACACTGGAGAAGAGGAGGAGGGGAGGACAAAAGTGCTTATCAAAGTGAAAGATTGCAACAATTCCCCTACTACTCCTATTGTAATCACTTCAATCCCTCTCCCGTCTGTGTTCTAGGATGTGTTGACACGGCGAAACGATGTGATGTATCGTACTGTATGACTAATTAGGATGAATTGATCCATTTAAGCATGGTATCATTTCTGAACAAGCCCATGGGGAGTGTATGCATTAGCCCAATCCAATGGCTCAGTAACTCTCTCCGACAACAAAAAAAATCCCTTCTCGCTCCTCTGTCGTGCTTCTGTCCTCATTTGCAACCTATTTGCTGTCCCATCCCTCCTCCTATCCCCTCACGCCTTTTCCTCCCCCCTCTCATTCCTTCTTTGTCACAGTATCTGTAATGTTTTGCTCCGTGTCACTTTATCTGCATGTATGATTCTTTGTCTGTCCATCTGGCTCCCTCTGTATTTAAGGATTTAGGCCAGATTCCCAGTGTTCCCATCTCATAAGCTCTCTCTGCATTTGGTTCAGGTGTTGCTATGTTCTCCGGTCCAAATGGACCCCTTGTCCGAGAGTTTTGCTCAGAGTTTTTCATTTCTAGTCAGTCGTCTTCCCAAGAATGGACCTTTGAAATGTAGCTTCTTTTATGATGTTGTCGTTACGTATATATCCATAAACATCACTCTTTTTTAATTTAATCTGTATTGTTGATCTTCTTGAGTAATGTGAGAAATGTTGCTAAGCCCCAATGAACTTTGACTCATCTCTAGACTTAAGCTGACCTCAAACCAAGACAGGTCCCCTTTTTCCCAAGCAAGTCAAGCTTGCACCTACACATCTGGGTGAAGGAACCCCACTTTCAAGTCCCCATTCAACATAAAAGAGAGGTCATTCCTAAGGGAACTTAACTTGACATAAACCTAACTTCAATAATGTGAACAGCTTAACAAACAAAGGATATGTTGCAGAAATCAATACAAAAGACCTTCAAACTGTTGTCTGTCTGCATTTTAAACAGTGTTAGTTACAGCTGTTAGAGCAATAGTTAATGTGTCTCATACTTACATTGCTTTGCATTATCATGTTAGGCTCCATGCAATCCAAGCCTCCATCATTGAAACCGGATTCAAGACTAATTAGGTCATCAATAACTTCATCCATTGGAAACTAAAAGAAAACAGTAATTTCAGTGTACTCATGGACAGACTGATGAAGTTTGTACAAGAATTTCAATACTGTCCACGTCTGTTCTTTTGAAATCTCAACATTCAAACCAAAATAAAAACGAGAAAAGGGGAGGGACTGTGCAGAGACTAATCCAATAACAGACAAGCTCTCCACCGCCACGTCACATAAATTAGTTAGCAGTGTTGGCGGGAGAAACATACATCTGTTATCAAACTAGTTTCCTCCTTTGAAAGGGTTCTCTCATCAGAGACTGCATGTCTGAAGTTATTGATGAACACATCAGAGAGAGAGGGAGATCAATAATGGCATCACTTTGTTTAGATAATTAGTTGGAACCACTCTCTGAGGTTCAAACCCAATCCAGATAGACATTTTACAGGTTACTGTTACTTGTGAATTATATTACATGTTAACTGTCTATCCAAACAAACTTTCCGCCATGATTTATCTCTCCTAATGACAGAATATAGAGGGACTAAGATGCAAATCTTACAGATGGCGTAACAGATGAACAAAGAACAAAATATTGCTTTTGACAGGAATGTGGGGTGTAGACAGGAAAACGTGTCAAGAACATTGCAAAATCTACAAAAATTATGACCCACAGTTCGTCCGTATGTGACCCAGTTTGTGGTTCAAAGTTTTTGTTGCAATGTCACTGTTTTCCAGTCACCGTTAGGCACATTTTGATTTTATTTCAATTTCAGTTCCATAAATTCAGCGACATCATAATTCAGATTTAGACACTTTCTTTTTCACTCACCTCGCTGTCGTGATTGGCCATAGTGAGCAGGGTAACGGGGCTGTTGGGGTTACTGCTGTCGCTGACAGAGGGCATGTGTCCGTTCCTCATGACCGGCACGGTGGCCAGCTGGCCAGGGGTGTGTGGATGCGGAATGGTGTGGCCCTGCCCGGCCGAAGAGGCCAGCTTGGAGCCCAGTGTCAGGTACTGCTTGACCTGCTGATTCTGGGTCTGGTGGAGGTGGAACTTGGAGTTCTCCAGGTGGCTGTGTACCTGCAGCAAACACAGATCATACACATGTTCAGTTAGCCGACTGAATAGAAAATAGGTTCACGGGGTTGGAGAGTGCACATTGTTTCTCGCACCACTGAAACAGCGCTGACTAAGCACAAGAGCTGCCGGCTTTGTGACAACGCACAAAGTTGAGAGTCAGACTTTTCCCATTATTAGTCACTTGTGCAGAGCAAATTTACAGATTAACAGCAATACTGTGTTTTTAGAACTTGTCTTTAAGAGAATTATTACTCATTCACAATTATTGTCATATTCCGTAAATTTTGTACCAGCTCCTGACTGAAAAATGTGGTCAATAGAGTAAACGCCTTTTCCAGTGAAATTATCTTAAATTGACAAACAAAATGTATAATTTTGTGTAATTTTCTATTAATCTACAATACTAGCCAGCAACCAACATAGCCAAACCATAAAAGCCTTACACATGTGTTACATCTGAAAACATGATAACACTGTTTAACAATACATTTTACCAAGTAATTCAGAATTTACTTAATTTCAATATATGTCAGTTTCTTACATTTGAAGCTCTGGTTGCGTCCAGCATCATGTAGTAACTGCAGTCACTTAAGTGTGGCATTCTCAGAAGAGCAGATAATCTTCAGACTGGCTTGTTTTGGTGTAGCAGCAGGTCAGCTTTAGGGATCCAGGTCTACTGCTGCTATCCTGTTCTTCTGCTGACTTCTCAGTAAGTGTCTGAACTTTCCAGTCCCCTACAAATGTCTTCTAAAGGGCCCTAAGTGAATTCATTAGGCCCAAAGCTGGGCGTAAGCCTTTATGTTGCGTAGCATGATAATCACTTCAAACACCGGTCTGTCAGATCACCCATGGTTTGATCACTGCAGGATATCTGCCTTTAGTGTGTATCACTAATTCATTTGGACCGCCCTTTTCTGTCTGACTGACCAATCAGTGGTCAGCTCCCAATGCCCTCTGCTGCCTGCTCCAGGGGTTGTAGCAGCACAAGTGACCCTTGTTCCCCAATGGGGGTTTTAAATAACTCATCTAATGCCATTTTTAACCATTCATTCACTGGTTTCAGTGTAGACAGTTTAGTATTATCAGTCCCCAAACAATAACTGCAATAAAGCTATTTTGAGGTTTTTATTACTGTAGGTCTAGGGCTATTTTCAGACGGGACATTTCACATAAAAATATTTAGTTCACTTACTGGTCTGGAGTAACAAAGAAGCTCACTGTTATTAGTTTATGGCCTGTAGAGTATTTTTAGGTATACTTAATAATAATAATACATGTATTGTTAGCAGTTTTAATATCCTGTTAGTCATGTTAGTTGTAGATGGTCACTTTGTCTGTTTCTTTTATCCAGATTCTTTTGAACTTCCTCTTTAAATTATTTTGTTCACTGGTCAAAATAACATGCTCTATGGGCTTGCCTGTACTTTATAACTTTTATAACTACATGGATACTTTTTTCTATGACCTCTGCTAATCAACTGGAAGTAGAAGAAAGTCAGATAAGCAACAATGCTGGTTTAGTACTTTTTGCAGGCTTACTTGGTGACCATGCCATGTTACTTAACATGAATAACTGATTGGTTAAAAGTAATGTGATATTGAAGACAAATACATTCTCTTCTCTCTGGTCCCATATTAATAAGGTCACTTTAATAAAACATTACAATAACCCCAAAAACAAGTGTCATCTATGAAGTAAAATTACAGAGAATGAAAGCATCGAAAGCAAGACTATAACTGTAACTTCTGCTAGTGACAGTTACTGGATAATGGTCAGTGCTAAACAGTAGCCACAGTAACAGTAGCACAAGTGGAGAAGAATCATAAAGTCAGCTAACTCACTCTTTACCTTGACTTTACTGAACCAAGCCAACGTTGGTTAAGTAAAGTCAAGGTAGCAACTGATCATACCAGATCAAATAAGGCTGTAGCAACAAAACTCCTGAGGGAACTCAATTGAGCAACAGTGCTTTAGAGCGCTTGTGATTTCAACTTTAATATATATATATTTTTATGAGAAACAATGTGTCATTTCTTCTCAAGTCTCACAGAAAGAATTTCTGGAATTGATTAAATGAGTTGCTCGCTAGCAAGTAGTCTATTATGTTTTGAGACTTTTAGCAACAATTATAGTTATTTATGGGTTACCAACACAACACTCACTTCTAGCTGTGGCAATTTGGAATTGGACTTTACAATAAAACTCAGATTTAAATTCTCCTCGTCAGCTAGACTAGTTGCCCTTATTCACCACTCATCCACCAAGCTAAGAACGTCTCATCACAATACTCAACTTGTCAGTAGAGACTGAGAGCTCTTATCTGACTTCTCCAAGCCAAACAAGATGGCAGTTGTTAGCGAATCAACATTTTTTTCCACTACGGATAGCAGGAGGGATGCCATGACTGCTAAACACCACATCTGCTTTGTGTGACAGCGGTTTGTCCTGGTTTTACTTCAGCTTTCTCACTACTGTAAATGCCGGAGACACGCTTGTTATCCACTTAAGGGAATCTGATTAGATTTGAGAGGTAATGGTGCTTCAGTCACCGAGGCCAACCTTGACAATGGCGGGCCTGTGCATGTGTGAAGGAGACATGCTGAAAAGTATCAATGCCAGCCATACAAATGGGATAGGAATGAGATAAGAATCTTATCAATCAAGGCTCAAGTTTGGGATTGTAGTGACTAATCTGGTGTTTTAGACACTTCAGTTTTTCTCTTTCTCAAAACAGCTACTAGCACCTGCTACAACAACTGAGACAGTGTTTGCGGTTACTGGTAGAGAAGAGGTCACAGGTTCACTTTCCATTTATACACATTTGCAAACATATTCCTGACATGCAAAACTATGTTGGCTAAAATTCCCAATTCACTAATACGAATCAATGATATAATCAGATTTTGGGGTTTCTACACAGCTCCTGATAGTTTTGCATATGGCCACTATTTGATGCAACAACATTTTAATATGTCCCTTAAATTTATTTTAGACGTCTGCTTCATTATGTTTCATAGTTTCTGAATAGTAAACTAATATTTGTATGGTTTGTGTTTGTGCTTGGTGCATCCAGTTAAGAGATATGTCATGTCATTAGGAAAATGAGCTGCATCTCCCTATCTTTATTATCTTCATTAAAATAAAGATTTAATAACTGTAAGCCACATCACGTGTGTTTTTCCAGCTGTTATATAGAATATGTATCTGATTCATGCAAGCAAGTGCACATAACTGCAACCAGAAAGCATGTCACAGCAATGCTCTAATAACATCTCTCTCGCCCTCAAATGAAAATATCAGTGATCAGTATCCTGCATTACAGAACATATACTCCCAAATATGTTTGTTATTAAAATCACAAATTCTCCACTAAAAAATCAGAACACTACTTAAGATTACAAACACATGGACACTCAATGCTAAATCTCAAAGCACAGTTTAATGCATTCTTTCAAATCATGATTTCTTTAGCCTCTATTTATGAGATGTGTTTAATAGTGTTGTGATTTACCTCTGAGTTAAAAGGTGTATTTCTTTATTCCCACTGAAATGCTGCATTCACAGTGTACATTGTAACAGACAAACTCACAGGTGTTTCTTCTAAATGAAAAGCTCTTGCTTAACTCAGTTTCAGTCTTGCCCAAGTTCTCCTTTCACTTCAGAAAAATCCAGCAACTTATGAAACACTGGGTGATGGTGACATTAACTAGCTGTACAAATTATGGACAAAACCTTGTAGGAGGTTTGGATTCATTTCTGCAAAATGCTGTATTTTACAACATATTGACACAGTTAGTGAATGCAGAATAGCAATGCTTTTAAATATGATTATATTTTCCCATTCTTGAACAAACATAAGATGAAAGTGGAACAAAAAGCCTTCTCAGACATGCATACTGTCTTTTGTGCTGAGCCTGCTAACCAGTATATAGCTGTAACCACATAGCCTAGATTGTGAAATGTGAGGGAAGATAAGACTGGGATAGCAAACTGAGCGCAAAGTTTGCATTCCACAGTGGCTGTTCGGTTCTTCTGGTTGTAGGTGCATGCCTTTTACAAAGCACAGACACTTTCTCTTGCATGCAAACCCAAACAAATACACACATACTTATACAAATACACTTTTCTATATCTGATCTTGTCCCAATTTTCCCTGGCCTGTAGTTGAGTCGCTCCCCCCTACCTGTAGAAGTTGGATCTCTGTCAAGGTGATCACTTTGACCACACAACAACGACTCATGGCTCCCAGAGTGGCAGCGTCTCCCACCACAGGGGCGCTGCAAATTCGTGCAGAAGAACAAGAACTGTCACAGCTACAGCTGTGTCTCACCGAGACAGGAGGAGAAGAAGAGGAAGAAGAAGAGAGGTGCTGCAGCCTCCTTCCTGAGCTTTTGCAGAAATATCGGAAAGGAAGGCATGACACATCAGCTTATTTGGGAGCTGCACGGGCTGTTTCCTGCATGTGTGTTAGTACGCGTGTGTGCTTTTGGTCAGGGAAAGGCCTGACAGAAGCAGAAATACAGATGGCAGTTGGGGGGGTTGGTGTGTGTGTGTGTGTGTGTGTGTGTGTGGATAGGGGTGTAATAAGTTGACAGAATGTGAGTTCCTGCTTGTGGATCACCACACTTTCCTTCCTGCAGTACATCCAGCCCAGCTCAGCACATTCTCCCAGGTTATCTTCATGACACCCACTTCCCTTGGAAGGCTCTTTAACCATCAAACTACGGTCACAGATTCAACTGGGGAAACGCACAAAAATGTCATCTGTGTGCAAATACGCTAAAACCCACAGATGTACACTCAGACAAAGTTGTTATCATGTCTTAGTCACTGTCAGGCCACAACAAAGGCCAATACAGGTCTTCCCAGAATGGCTCTCAGAGAATTCCTGGACACAGCAAAACTGACCAGGGTCATTGCAAATCCTCCCTGTTTTCCCAACTATCAGTCAAATCAGAAGCCACAAACATATTAAACACATGAAAGCGGAGTCCAACTTTAAAATCCTGCCATGGTTAGCAAAACAAATCACTATAGTTTTGTTTTACTTGCACCATGGTCATCTGTAAAACACTGTATTACAGCTAACAATGCTAACACAGAGTACTGTCTGTTTTCTATCCAACCATCTACTTGACTGCATTTACCTGACCTACAGTATGTTCAAATTCAAATTAGCTTTATTGGCATGAATGTGTAACAACAATATTGCCAAATGTTAATGAGTCCCTAATCACTCCCTAGTCCCTTTTAGCACAAAGTGAAATCCAGGATGCTCCTGTGTTCTGAAAAATTGAGAATCACAGTTTTATACTCACGGTTGATTCAGTGATTATTGCAAACAGGAACTGAGGGTGTTATATATTTTGATACACATTAATAACCACATCAGAACTTCAATTGAGGACATTGAATGTAATAAGGCAAATCAAATCACAATGATTCAGTTAAATCAAGCTGGTAGAGATTATATTTTTAAAGAATCATTTTAACACTGTTATGCACAATCAGCTAATGTCTCCTCTCAGCTGTTAAATTGCAATTTGTCCCACACGTGTCCATGGTGGATGATTTCATTAAATCGCAATCTGTACAATAATCTCTGAGAAGAGGAGTTCTTGTTATAACCCAGTAGATGATTACAGTCTCAGTCAGCTGGATGGTTGTGCATTATTTTTGCTGCTGTGTCTGAATCATTTCGCTGCTATTAGAAGGTCAACAAGACACACACACTCAGCTGTTCATGTCTGCTGCGTCTTTGTGAGAGTGTGTCCATATGTCTGTTGTTACATGAACATCACTGTGTTTTGTATTCTTACAATGTCACCGTTACCCACGTGTGTACTTGTTTGCTTCTTGTTTACAAGATGTCCGTTTTGTGTGCACAGTCTATGTGATCTAGCCAAATTCCTGGCTGGCCATTTTTGGCTCATCTTGGGGCAAGCCACAGGTGCTCACCTTTGTTAGTCCCTCCACATGTCATGTTTTAAACATCAGGGACTTCCTGTAAGAGTTAGCCTGCTTCTGAGACAACACTTCAAAGTGCAGCTCCCACATCTGAGGACTGTTTTATCCTTCTAGAAAAGGAATGCATAATGGACACAGCACCACTGCACTTTTAATGATTCTCATATGAATTAAATATTACAGCCATTTTAACTGGATTACACGTGAAACTATGTGTGAGAGCGTGTGTGCTTGATACCTTGATGAAATATTGAATTAATGAAAATGGTCTTGCCTTGACAGTTGTGTGAAAAATTATTAGAAATCTTATTTAAAGTAAATGCGGAATATGACTTCGGTACACATTGGAATCTTGATTGTGAACGGGATTTTTATATTTAACATTTTTCACCAAAACACACTGGGTATATTCTTAAGACCTACGTTTGATTTTAAATGTAATCCCTATATCATACATCTGCAAAGCATTACCGTTCTTAAGTATCGATGCTGTGATTGCGGCAATCACAAGCATGTTTATGCTGGTAGAACACAAAATAGTAGGAAATTCTTACAAGAAAAATGACCCAACATTTCCTGAATAGTTTGGTGGACTACTCAATAAGCAAATTATTTCTTTGGTGTTTTATTATAATTAAATTTTTGGTCAGTGCTAAAATTTTATTTAAAAAAATGCTATGATGTTAATGTTATTAAAAACATAAATATGTGATGCACATGATAACACATACTTTAAATAACATACATAAGTACACTAACAAAGTATTTTTATATTGTAACTGACTCATTTACTTCCAATTTTTACAAATAACAAACCTTACATAACAGTTCAGCAGTTTCAGTCAACTGAAAGACTTCAGAAAGCTGAGTGAGAGAAGGAGGAGAAAGATGAAGAGAAGGATGCAGTGCAGCTTGTCCTCACTGTCAGTGCAGAGGAGATGTAATTAGTTAAAATGGAATTATACAATTTTTGCAGCTAAATCCGTTAGAGCACATTATTCTCCGTGAGCAGTGAAAAGGAGCTTGTTCACAAGAACACCTGAGAGTTTGTAGACGCTCTGCACACATGCTTACACTGAACAAAATTATAAACGCAACAGCTCTGGTGGACATTCCTGCACTCAGCATGCCAATTACATGCTCCCTCAAAACTTGCAACATCTGTGGCGTTGTGCTGTGTGATGGAACGGCACATTTTCTAGTTGCCTTTTATTGTGGCTAGCAAAAAGCAAACCTGTTCAAACCCATGTTGTCTGATCAGCATCTTGATATGCCACACCTGTGAGGTGGATGGGTTATCTCGGCAAATGAGAAGTGCTCACTAACACAGATTTTGTCAGATTTGTGTACAATATTTGAGAGAAATAGGCCTTTTGTGTACATAGAGAAAGTCTTAGATCTTTGAATTCAGCTCATGATGAATGGGGGTAAAAACAAAAGTGTTTATAATTTTGTTCCGTGTATTTATGTATGTGCTTGGATGTCCTGTTGTATATATATTCTTGCATGTCAAATGAGCTTGTGGAACTGTATCTACAGTATGCCACCTAAGCTAGTGAGTGTGTTTATCTGCGTTCAGTATTGTCAGTAATGGCTTATACTCCAACCTCGCTATAACACTGGTGAAGGCTGACACATCCAAAAAAATGCAAACACTTCATCAGTTACAGTTCAAATCATTGTTGATTTACAAAAACAATGCTCTTTCTTATATACAGTGGCTAACCAAGCTTTTGTAAATGTTTTGTGTATAATTCTTAAAGAGGTGGTATTATACTCATTTTCAGGTTCAAAATCATTTTTAGGGGTTGTACCAGAACAGGTTTACATGGTTTAATTTTCAGAAAACACAAAATTTCTTTTTATACCGCACATTTCTGCAGCTCCTCTTTTCAACCTGTGCTGAAGGCTTCGTTTCAGCTATGGAGTGATACATCTTGTCTCTAAATGATCTTTGTTGGGAGTTGCACATGCGCAGTTCCTAGTTAAGGACTACTAGCCAATCAGAAGCAGAGAAAGACGGGTCAGCGAAAAGACAGTAAACAGCTTTGCATTCAGCTGTAGGCTACATGTTGCCGACCAGCTTGGCAATATGGACTGGAGCAAGAGTTTCAGAGTGGTGAATTATTAATCTGTAACAAAAGTATCTTTCATCCATAAAGTTTTAACTGAGCTCTGTCTCTACATCACAGTAACTTCATGTCCATTGACTTCCTGGAGGGTAGCTAGTGTTTGGAAAGGAGAGGAGAGGTGTGTGCTGGAGCTCAGTGTTTTTCCACCGGTGTTTTTGAGGGCGTGTCAGACTAGTCGCTCGGTGAGCAATATGACACGTATTTTCTTGTGACATCACAAGAAAGCGGAAGTGAAGGCTGGACTACAAACGAGCTGTTTTCAGGCACTTCAGAGCAGAGTTATCTGTGGGAGATGGGAACTCCCTTTGGGGTGGACTTTGGGTTTTTTCACTTTGCAAACCTGTTACATGCACAAAAAAGATATTTAACTCAATAAAGGAGAGGGAAAAAGCCAAAAAGCATAATACCACCTCTTTAAGCTAAAGTTAAAATGTTAAATCACCGAATTTGGATTCACATCGATTATAAGGCAAATTCAAAGTAAACAGAAAATGGACCTAATCTTCACCGATCAAAAGCAGATCCAAACCACAGCAGCAAAGCTGCTGAGCAATACAGAGCAGAGGATTCTGGGTAAACTGCTGTGTAGTGGTTGTGGTCCTGAAAGGGGCACTTCATCCTTGACCCTCACTGTCCAGTGAGCTAGAACAGGATAGACCGGTGCTTAGCATTGCCTCTCTGAATGATGTCAGAAAGCTGTACTGTAGACAACTTTAATCTCTCACTTTGGCAGACAGTGAAAAGAAGCCCCGGTGGGCTCCAACTATAACTACGAAGATGAAGTCTTATTAAAATTATGCACATGATTGATTGCGAGACAGTCCCAGCTCACCAAAGGAAAGGCCTTCCAAGCCTGTGCAAAAGTCTAAAGACAAAATGCTCAGTACACAGAGGAAGAAAATAGGATATCTAATAGGATTTAATTTGTTTTATTTAAAGAATAGAGTGCAGTTCCCTTTGCTTTGAATGTTTTTATTTTCCGCCTGTTTCTAAAAACAGGAGATTTAACGACATCTAAGATAAGAGAGCACGTCACAGGTCAGTTTGTGTAGCCTTAAGAAATATATTAGA